CCAGGAGAGAAGGACAACGGTAGACTAAGCGAAAACCTGTAGTTATCCCGTACGTGTCAGGAGTATTGGAACAGTTGAGACGCATTTTTTCTAAACACCGCATCTCATTGGGGCATACATCGGGGAAACCAAACAACCTCTGGCAAAGCGAACAGCACAACACAGAAGAGCTACCTCGTCAGGCCAGGACTCTGCAGTCTATGGACACCTACAGGCCAGTGGACACTCTTTCAATGATAAGGATGTACACATCCTGGACAGGAAGGAACGCTGGTTTGGAGTAAAGGAGGCCATTTAGGTGAAAAGAGAAAAAGACCATCTCTGAATCGAGGAGGGGGCCTAAGTACCCTTAGGACCCTCCTCTTTCGCCATCTTACAATGCTGTGATTGAAGCCATTCCCCAACTCTCTGTGAATGGTACTCATGGCCATTGATCAGTGGTCTTTGATCAATGGTCATGAGAATTTGCATAATCATGATGAAGGAACTGACCTCCCAGCCCACTGTTCCTTCAGTGGTGCTAGTTTCTGTCATTATGCAAATGTACTGTCTATAAAACTGGAACTGAAGAAGTCACTTGGATAAGTGACGAAACGTTTCTCCCACTGAAAACGCTACGTCCAGATGAACAGAATCAACTTTTGGAGGGTCAGTCATTTAATGGAACATAATTTCTAATTAAGACTAAACTGAGAAATTCATCAAACAGTTGAAAGTTCAAGTTCAGCCTGTTGATCTGCAGTTTTCTTGATGCACTATTTTCCTCATCTCATTCAAAGGCAAAACTCGCTGCTCTCATTCTCTGCCCTGTTCTCCAAGAAAATCACTCCACAGTCAGTGTTTTTGAAAGAACTTTATATGAAGAGCCTGGGGTTTCACACTGGTAGTAATACGCTCCAGGATCCAATCACCTGTCATTACAATCACACAACTAGGAGGCAAATAGGTGTATACAAGGCTAGAGGAGGTGGTTTCTGTAGCAACAGACATCCCCGTCTACCCTGTAAGCTCAGGCTGGTGAAGAAAGTGGCTCTTTAGTGAACTTACTACTCCAAGTCACACTTGTATGTGTGACTAAAGCTGTATCAGTCATCAGCACAAGCACAGACTTTATAACTCAAGAAGAAGAGAGAACAGGCAGATGAAGCGTGGAGCTAATACTTTTTTTAGGTTTCAAAATGAATTATTATGACTGAAGCAGAAGCTGTAGCAAAGGTTGATCCATTTTTTTTAAATAACCTAGCCCGTTTTTCTTTTCTACTTTATAATTATAGGAAAACATCTACATCATTTTGCAGAGGTTTTCATTTAAGTCTGCAGGGCTTGGAGTTCTGGGTCAAACCTTGCATATACATCTAAGTCATGTTGAACTGCAGTAATTAAAGCTAACAGTGCTAACTGTGTTATACTATTATAAACACACACACACACACCTTGGAGAGCAGGTGCTCGGGCAGAGGCTTGCGTGTCACCCAGGGGTCCATGGAGTAGAGCTTTGGGTCGCGTTCCGACAGCTCTATGCGTCGTGGGGTCAGCAGCTTCCTGCGTGTGAACTCCAGCTCGTCGTCGTGGACGTTGCTGACGTCGGTTACGTCGTAGCCAATCAGGTAGTTCAGGTAGCGCTGGTACTCCACAGACTCCTGTGATGGCTGTGGGCGGGGCACTAGCTGAATCCGCCCCACATCCTTCTTCAGAGCTTTTGAAACAAACAAACAAATAAAAAACAATTTAACATGATTTAACAAAACATGATTTTTACATCACAGCTAAAGACCAACTCAGACTCTGATTGCAGGTAGAAGTGGGTCGTGGTACCTCTCCAGTAGCGAATGCAGTCTAGCGTCTGGAAGACCTGGTGCTTGTCATAGATCTCGCAAACGTTGCCCTTCTTCTGGTACAACAGGATGCAATGGTCAGGAGAGAAGCGCTGGTAGAACTCAGGGCACAGGTTCGAAGTCACTGCCTTCATCCATACCTGGGCTTTCACCTGCAAACGAGGCGCAGTGAGGATTTTTAACATCTACAGCAGACGGTACGCGGGTCTGAGAAGAAAAGGAGTGAACGAGCCGGACCTGTTCGACAGTCCAGTTCCCAGCCACGTCCAGCTGCAGAGTGTCGGGGCCACTTCCACCCCGCGCAGCTGTGGGCAGCACAAACTCGACAGAGATCTGATCCATGGAGGTGGAGCAGGACGAGGTTATGGCTTTCTTTCTCCTCCTCCTTCGGCTCTCTTCTCGTGGTACTTGACACTCTTCGTCGCTCACCTGGATCTGCTGCCTGTCCATCGCCTAGCTTGAGGAGGATGAGCATATGGAAATAGGAAAAAAAATCCAATGCGCTGGTGTCATTAATTTGTGACGAGCCCTTCCCTTCAATAAACTCTGAAATTGGAAACATGCTGTGTTCCCTGCTGATGCTGGAAACTGAGACAGGCCATGATTGGCTGGTGAAAATATAAAATACCAAATATAAAATACCAAATCGAAGATAGACGACTCAGAGCCATCCCGGTATCAAGCATCTTCCAGCAACGCCTCCTCATGTCAGCAAAATGTTGTGTCAGCAAATTTACCCAGATTAAGAAAGACTTCAGATTTCTTTTTTTAAACTTATTTTCCATTTATTCACATCATAAATTCAGTTTACTTCTCTTTTTTTAAGATCCAGTTTTAGATTGGCATACTTCCTAAAAGTTGGTATCAGAAAAATTCAGTCAGTCAGTGCAGAGGCAGATGCAGCAATCAGCCCACAGACCTTCAATGTTTTACTGACACCCCCCCCCCTCTCTCACACACACACACACACACACACACACACACACACACACACACACACACACACACACACACACACACACACACACACACACACAGCTCTCTATAATTAGACCTATACAAGAATAATACACTTTGCAATCTAAATGTTACCTCTAACTACACTTCAGAATCAGACACAGAAAATAAACACAATGAGGGCGACTGCATGTACTGGCACTGCTTTTGGGAAAGTAAAGATTTACCAAGACGGTATTACTCATATACCTCCAATAACTAAATACTTTTTCATCTTTTCTTTCAAATCATCTTCACTGGCTGACGTGTTCAGGATTAAATGGCCGGGGTTTCCCTTCTGCTTCTGTCACATCAGCAGTGGAAGCTTTGAAAAGCAGGAAGCAAAACTCAAAACAACATGGATGTGATTACAAGTGGCTTTAGTGACAGTCTGCTGTTTTGACGACTGTGTCATAAACATTTAAAAACACTTGAAAAGTGACCGTGGGGCATCTACTGGTGGGGATAGTTCAGCCTGTATTTAACATGACCACAGCCGAGCAGGGTTAGCCTGTGGGTGTAACGGTACAGCTGCCGCAACAATCGAAAGGAGAGGCGGTAATTCTGTAAAATAAAATTTATTAAAACTCACCAATGAACGAAGATGGCAACGAAATCCGGAGCTTTGGACAAAGGTTTCGGCATTTATGCGGAAAGAAGAGACCACGGAATAGAGTAAATGATACTTTCAAGCTAATGTGCACAGTTTGTGGTTAAGGAAACGCGGCGCTTCTACTCAGAAACTTTGTCAAACTCTCTGGCCAACTTTTGCCCAGTCAGAGTCACACCGACACTTCCGGCTTCTCTCCAAAATAAAATACCATTACGCAACACCATGCTCCATAGACCAGTGCAGAAAGTTATTATGTATAATATTTACAGTCAGTGACATGGCCCCACCAAGCTGAACACGCTTTCTGCAAAATACGTAAAAACAAAAAAGGGTAAAGCATTTAAATATTAAGGGCAAACTAAAGTGAAGGGATGTTTAGAGGCAGCATGTAAGAGCTATAAAAGCAATATTATTATGTATATTTATTATTTTTATTATTATACATACTTGCATAGTTCCCTAATTCAGTTAGTGCTTTCTGGCATCAGCATCATGCCTGATCCGATGCCGTAGAACTGCCGTTGTTTACTGCCCTCTGGCGGCTACAGTAGGAAACTACATTACTACCAATACATGCGCTCATGAGAGGTTTAAGTAATACATTTGTGAAGGAATAAGGGCAAAAATAACAAGATCCGAATTTTACGAATAAAATATGTTGAGCTACCCACTGTCGTTGTTGCTCCATTTATGTTGGTGTTTTATTAATTTATTGTGAAATATTTGCTGGAAATGTGCATATGTAACTAGATCTAACTTAATCTATCGGGCTTGCTATAAGTCTCCGTAACCACTAGAGGGTAGTGACTGACAAAATTGCATATCAAATACCTAGTGCCAGCTGCAGTCACGCAATACTTTTTTAAAAAATAAATACATTTGTTTAAACATGTACTTTCCACGTGTTTTACTAATGACGTGATCGCCTCACTGTTTTTGCTGAGTTCTGCATATAGTGCTCTCAAAGTTATGCTCCTAAAGCTCAACTGGTTTGATGAGTTTAATGTTTCTGGGTCTTGCTCAAACTAGTACGCTGATGTGTATTCACTCATTTCACATAATGATAACATTGGTTGCCCATATTTGATTTGTAAAAACAGTCGCCAAAACGGAGAATATCACACAGCAAATTCTGAAATCTATATGTCCGGCTTTACATAGACATCTATAATTACAGTAAAGACCTATTTAATCGCTTCACACAGAAGTTGCAAACTTTGGTGAAAAAACAAACAAATAAAAAAACGGGTGTGTGGGACAGAAACCCTAATCAGGCAACATGGCGCCCCCCAGTGTTTTTGTTGCGCTGGATCTGAGAACTGAGCTGAAGGCTGTTTGACCGCCGATGTTCGTAGTTATTTTACAAAAAGACGCTTGAGTCAAGCAAGTCCTGTTTCATTGTAGAGTGCTATTGTAAAATTGCGCTAATGGAAATGACTTTCTATTTAGCTTCACATGTAATAAAAGAAAAGAAAATAAATAAAAATGAAAAGTAGACACACACGATACATTTTTAACAAACTTTTTTTTTTTTGCGGGGATCACAATGTACAAAACCAGCTGGAATGGAATTGACCAATGAGCGCAAGAGAAGTTGCGGATTGACGTCGATTGTGACCAATAGCACAGCTTGTGAAACTGTGTTTATACCTACCCACTTTTCCGTACAGGGAGACTGTTTTGGTGAGTTAAGGAAAGTTCATTGAAATAGTTTATAGGTTTAAAAGAGTTGAAATGAAAAAGCGACTCCACAACTTGATTTGTTTCTCCTTGAACTAGGCGTCGGAGCAACAGCGTGAAGCTGACACCGTGCGTTTTTTGTCGTAAAATACATTTGCGCCGCTCGCCCCGTAAAGCTTCATTGTTGACGTTTGTTGTTTTGTTGTAATGTCTTTTGCGCAACCGTGTAGCTCGTCCATTTTCATCCATTTAATGGCATTTTCACCCCGAACATGTTTTGAGAATGTATTCGGTGCGTTTTAATAAAACCCGAGATGTTTTTGGCCACTTTCTTGTCGAAGTACAAACACAATTTTATCGACAGCTAGTTTCGATACAAAATGCTCGAGTGACGCGTTTCAAAACGGGCAGTCCGTGACGTAACGCTGTTGCGTTAGCTTTGGGTGATTTCATTTCTTTGCTTTTTATTCGTTTTGACGACTTTCTTCAACTCTTATTATCGCTCCCTTTCTCCGTATTGAATGAATGGGCTTTTTGTGCGCATGCGTCCAGGAACGAAGTTTATAAACAAGACGTCACATGATTATGAAATTATAAAATAGATAAAAGTTCTCTTCGGGGTCTGCGGTAGTTCTCGTCTTTAGTCCCTCTGGTAGTGAAGTGGAACGGGTCTAATGTGTCTATAGTAAACCTGTTTATGAGAGGGGAATAGCAGCCAGGCTACTGTCCCCTATGCCACCGCAACCATTTATAGCCTATACATTACAGCTCAGTTAGGGATTATGTTTCTGTGTGTGTGCGTGCCTGCGGCTGACCCATGGGGATTGGGAACATGGCTAATGCTGATTCAAGTGTATAGATTAGCCTTAATTGTGGGTCATGTAGCTGAGACTCATGTAAATCACTCTGTATGTTTTAGTGTCTGGACATCATGGTGTGGGAGGTGGTGACTCCAACTGTGCTGTCAGGTCACACTAAATGTCACCAAGGGCCGGAGCCCGAGCCTCAGCCTGAGGACACAGGTAACCACTGATTACAGCAGTTTGTTAAACATGCTTCTGTGCTATGATGAAGCCGTCAAAAAGCCTTACAAAAAAAAGAGAGGTCAAGATCTAAATGTCTCTTACCCTGGTTCTGCTGGAGGTTTCTTCCTGTTAAAAGGCAGTTTGTCTTTCCCACTGTCACCAAGTGCTTGGTTTTTATATTATTGTAGGATCTTTACCTTGTGATATAAAATGGCTTGAGGGGATTGTTATTGTGATTTGGTGCTGTATATGTATAATGAAGTTGGACTAAACTAAATTATTTAAAGCCCCGTCAAACAGTTAAAGCATGTGGTGACTCTGCTATAACCTTCAGAAATGATGATGGATGCAGATGGAGACCAATCGCATGATTCGCTGCGCTGTGACGAACACTTCCCCTCCTTGCCCGGATTCCCCACCAGTGACAGTTACATGGAATATGGTATGTAAGACACGAGGAAGCAGCTTGCAGGCTTCAGCTCTTATCAAAAGGAATTTATCCGTTTCTAATGTCTGTTTACTTCTCCTAGATGACCTCCCAGATCTACAGGAGGTTCGAGAGGAGACAGAGTCAACATCACCACCTGTGTACCAGGTGGAGTTGGGTGTGTCACACCAGGAACGAAACACACAGACACACAGACCAGAGCCTCCGGACACACGCTGGCTGACACAGCTAGCACACATTGCCACTGGACCTCAGAGTCCACTGCTACAGGAGCCTCCTGACAGCAGGTAGGTACATGCCTCTTAAACAAAGCTTTACTGAAGGTACAAATAACTGGAAGTGTGTATAGTCTTAATTTGTCTTGTAAACAAAGTGAAGTGACTCACAGCACCGTGACATTTAGTGACTTCAAGCAACTAGGCTCAAAATAAACTGTCATCACATGAAGTAGGCGGAACCCGAGATCAATTTTTCTCAACTTTCAAACACATTAGAGGGTTACCTGTGATACATCTGTGCTGAATCTACGTAGAGTCTATGTTCTTTCCAGGTTATGGTGTAAGTTATGGGATAGTGTTTCAGAAGGGTTCATGGTTATGATGCACCTATAGTGTATATTTAACACATGAATATAAGTCCCTCTGTAGATGACAATATTAGACATTTCTGGTCTCCCTCACATCATACAGGGCCAATAGTAGAAAAAATGTCTGAAACCAAGTGTAGAGTTGTCTCAAGTGTGAGCTTTTCACTCACAGACATTACTTGCACATTTGCTGACATAACTATTTGAAACGCCGGAGCTATATTAATATGACAACCCACCACTGTAACAATATATTATCCCCTTTAAAGGTAAAGTATGTAAAATATGACCACTAGATGTCAGTAGATTGCTCATTGCAGTCAGATGAGTTTTGTTATCCTAACTACAGTGGCCCCTGTGTGGCAATCAACTCTGGCTGCCATTCATCAGTAGTGAGTGTAGGTCAGTCTGCTGTTTACCTCAGCTAGTGTCCACATCTGTGTACTCTGCAGGAGGTTGTAAAACCTTAAGGAAAGAGTCTGATACGAGTCAGTGAGTCTGAGAAGTTCAATTCTGTCCGATAATAGCTGTACAGAGCCTCAAATAATGTGGGAATGTAATTTTAAAAAAGTTTATCAGAGGGAAAGATGTCAGGTCACTTGAGCCTAACATTACATGGAATAATGTTACCACATAACCAGCTGTGGTTGTTGTCTTGCCAGCTCATTGTTAGTTGTATGGAAACAAGAAGGTCACATATCTAACACGCACAAAAATGTTTATTAAAATGTTAGAGCCTTGACATGACCACCTCAAGCCGCTTCTTCTGATGAGGTGGAAATAAGGGAGGAAAGAGAATAATGTACAATTGTTAAAATATCATATATAGTTTGAAAGAGAAACTTGTGATCTTTAAATTAAAAGTAACTTATAAGGCATGCAACATATGTGGCCGTTCTCTAGCATACATAAAACAGTAAGGCAGAAGCACGATGTCTTTCTCCACCACTGTATGGCAGGGCAACAAGTGCTGTGTTCTCCTTTGTATTTGTAATGTATTAAGTTTATGAGAAGACATCGTTTTTTTTAAGATATGATTACACATTAATCAGTGTATATTTATGAATACAACATTTTTTTTCTATGAAATAACTTCAACAGTTTACAGACTGTACCTTAAACATAGATGTATATACTTTATTACAACGAAAAAGTGTGTCAGAAACAGGCTTTATTCTCTTTTGGTTGTATTATGAAGAATGTAAAATTCTCCTCCAAATTTAAACAAATCACATTTCAAAAATCTCTTTTCCACACGTGAAAAGTACTGAAGCAGCAAGTGAAGCAACAGAGAATGGTTTATTGTTTTTAACCAGAGAACATGGAAACAAAACTAGCACCATCTCCTGGGGAAATCTGGTACTGCACATGTATTAGTGAAACATTTAAAATACAATTGGACTTACTTTTTTCATTGTTATAACCTCATCAAACACTTATCTTAGTTTTTTTCTATAGTTTCTTGTTTGGTCACATGACTTTTCCCAAAACGAGGCAGTCTTTCTAAGACACTTCAGCTTCAAAGAGGGGATGTTATATAGTCTATGCCTAATATTTCTACTTGTGCACACGAGTTGCTGACATTAAACATACCAAAAATTACAGCTCGTGTTGACAAGTAGAAAAACTTTAGCACCACATCTGAGTGACAACAGTGAGCTTCAGAACATCATCTTTATTGCACAATTCTTTGTGTCCTAGAGCCCTCTTTAAGCAACACGTAAGTGGACATTCTGAGCATTTACAGTCACACCTCTCTTTTTGCAGTTCTTCTTCAGTCTGCATCCCGAGCAGCAGCAGTGATCTACATTCCTACGCTCGGCCTCCTCCTCCTCTCCCCAGCAGCCCCCTGTCGTCCCTCAGAGGTCACGGCAGGGAGCGTCAGCGCTGCAGGGTAGAGCCTTCTTATTTCCTGTGCTTCAAAACCACCCACAGTCAATTATGAAAACTCACTTACACCACTGCTTTTATAATTGTATACGTTTAATACAGTAGTGTTTTTTTTGGTGAAACCTCCAGAGCTTTTCTGGCTTCTTACAGCATGCATTGATCCTGATGATGCTTCTGTATCTTTCCACAGACAAGCAGTGAATGTGGCTCTGCAGTGTCCACCAGATCTTCTCTGTCTGATGATGAAGACATGGGCTGGAGTTTTTCCTGCCCACCCACTGCCTGGCACTGTTTTCTCAAGGGTACGTACAACACTTACACACTCAGTCAAGATGGACTGATTGTGTTCTTTCATTTCACAGTAGCTCACTGCTCCTTTCTGTCACCAGGAACTCGTCTGCATTTCCACAGCAGCTCAAATATAGAGTGGCGGGAAGCTGAGGACTTGGAGTCTGCTGAGGAAGACTCTGCTGATGAGGAGCAGTCTAGATTTCTGAAGGTACGTTAAGCAAGCAGCAGACTGCTGGGAGCAAATGCATAAAAAAAACAAGCATGGATCCACCAAAAGACATCACACAGTGAGGTAAAAATACCACTTGTTCTTCTGCAGAGTTATGGCTCTGAGGGTCTGCAGCTGGTGGAGCATGCAGAGATTGTGTTGTCTGGTCAGGCTGTTCTACAACTGACCTTTGACCCCAGCACATTTGGATATATCCCCCTGACTGCCCGCTGCCAACTGGATCACCCCTTCTATGTCAAAAACAAAGGTACAAGTGTGGTCAAGGTTTAAAGAGACTAAACAGCATCAATGACTCTGCAGACATTTCATCCTCCTTTCTGTCGTCAGGCTGGTCATCCTTTTACCCCAGCTTGACTGTGGTGCATTATGGGATACCATGTTATGAAATGGAAGTGGGAGATGTTTGCCTGCCTCCGGGACACAGAGACGCCAAGCACACAGAGGATTCTCCAGTCTTTGACACATTTAAAAGGTAAAGCAGATGTTTGCAGTGTCATGCTTAAATACAGTGTTATGCGAAAATGAGTCAGTACTAAGGGAAAGGTCTTAAAACAGTAATCAAATGCCCATATAGAGGCTGTGGTTTGGGGTGAAAAAAAGAGGGAAAATAGTCTTGTTTGAACCAGCTAAGCCTAAAACAAACACCACTTAGTTTCAAATCAACCTCTGTTTGTCTCATACTTAGTTATGATTTCACTCCTCTGGACTCCTCGGCGGTTTACGTATTGAGCAGTATGGCGAGAAGGCGACGTGCTTCCCAGTCCAGTGGGGGAGCTGTTTCTCCAGACAGAGACATGCTTCAAGGTCCTGCACTTCAAATCTCCTGAATTATTACTTACTCACTGATACCATTCAGTTTGCAAGATGCAAAAATCCCTGAAAAAAAAAAATTCATGTGAACCCTGTTTTGAACCCACAGATGTGCACAGTCCCAGTCATTCCCACGCCACTCAGCAAAAGCCCCCCAAAAACCAGCTGCTCAGTACACAAGGAGGCAGCAGCGCCACACCCACTAAGTGCAAGCGGCCAATGAATGCATTCATGCTGTTTGCCAAGAAGTTCAGAGTGGAGTACACGCAAATGTACCCGGGCAAAGACAACAGGTGGGTGCATGCCATGGTTGTTAGCGTGGGTGTTGTGTAGGAGTAATCAGGTGTGTGTGTTAGTAAATGTGTGCGTCTGCCATCAGAGCCATCAGCGTCCTCCTCGGTGAGCGGTGGAAGAAAATGCGAAGTGAGGAGCGTCGTGTGTTCACCCTGCAGGCCAAAGCACTCGCAGACGAGCAGAAAAGACTCAACCCAGACTGCTGGAAACGGAAACGAACCAACTCTGTGAGTACACACATGCGCCTGCACAGCTTCACCCACTGTTTTGTATTTCTGCTTCATCCTGCCTCTTTGTCTTGCAGGGCTGTCAAGGAAATTAAGGCTACAGAAAAGAAAAGAGGACAACTGACAGAGCCTGTTGTGTACACACACACACACGCACTCACATACGCACATTAAAAAAAAGAGCTATGCATAACCGAATATTACGCTTTAGTTCTATATTTGTTTTGTCTTGATCTCCTAAATCCCTGAATCCTGTTATAGTAATGCAAAAAAACAAAAAAAAACAAACAGCTGGCCCTGGTGAACACCTTGGGCTGCTCTCAACAAACATCACTTTCCTTTTTCTTGCCTTTCAAAGGTGCTACTTATAAAATCTTGAAGTGCTATAAATCATTATTTCTTAATAGGAATTAGCAGAGGTGTCAAACATCGCCTTTTTTTTGAAATGCTGCGGAACACCCGTAGTGTCTCCTGCCGGGGACCGGATATTTTTCCAAAGAGATGAACGGATTTTAGCTCCAATGAGCAAAGTTCGTCTCTACACGTGATTCTTACATCAATGTGATAATATCCACAAAAAAAGAAGAGATTCTGATGATCTTCAGTTTCTCACACTATGCTTGAAACAGGTGGAAGTTGTGGTGCTTTTAGCCAAAGTAGAGAATGTAGCTATTTTTCCAAAATTCTATATTGTACAATAAGAAATATACAATTTATTTTATTGTCTGTATTACTTGTATTTGGACTCAGTGTTATTGCACAAGACTACATATGTTAACTTTGCTTTCATTTATCACGTAGCATTTAATAATGAAACACCACAAACTCTTAAACAGGGGCCTGGGTTTTATTCACCTCCCCACAAATTAAATGTGGCCTTTTTTAGCAGCAATAATAATAATTTGCTGTATTTTAGTGAGTCTCCAGTAGTGCTTCAGTTTTTCTCAGTAAGGGTTCCTCGTGGAGTTGTTATGTAAACAAATGTGTTTACATTTGGCGTTAGTCACCTAAACCTGCCGTGTCATTTGGAGGACTGTGCATCACGTCACCCTTGTGATCACGTGACAAACCAAGAGACCACATAATATCATTTGAATTCATCAAGTTGAAGTGATGAAGGGAAAAATAACCATTAAATGTCAACCCAAGTTAAAGCTCTTTCATCTTTGAGGTTAACAATTCTAGTGGCCAACAATGGAGGTAAAGAAAACCATTGAAATGTGGTGGTGCAGTAACTCTAGGTCATCTAAAGAGGGTCATCTGTGCGCTGGTCCACCAACAACCAGAAACAAGTTGCTTTACATGTAGACGAGGCTTAAAACTCTACAGGGTTAAAGCTTCCCTGAACTCCTTGAATCCCTCACTTGCCCAAAGCTTTTATTTTGAAATACGAAATGTATTTAAGGAAGTAGAACCACACTCTAATTGTACTTTGAATTAAATGACAATTACTTGGACAGTAAATAATCCCACTGCTTAAAGTTTAACTTTACCTGTGACTACTGGTGGCTTGACTTCGTGTAAAATAAATAAATAAAATAATAAAAATAAATTAGTAATACAAATATATATATATATATATATATATATATATTCTAGCCACTGTCAGGCAGGTAGTGTGCACACTGAGAAAAATTATGACGTGCCCATTGATTAACCGCTACTGTGAACATTCGGTGAAGCTAAATGCCAAGAAATCATCATGAGCAGTCGATGTGATCAGAAACAGGGAAATGTACGATGATGAGGTTTTGTGGTGTATTTTATTCAGGATGTTTTGTTTTTGGCAAAAATAAACAACTTTGTGAATGTGTTTACATGCACATTGTAAAGAGTAAAGAAGGAAGGACATTTTACATTTACGTTGTAAATGTAAAATTGTTTACACTGTAAAATTTAGAATCTCAAAGATGAAAATGGGAAAGGAAATAAAGCAGCCCTGAGGCCTCACTGATAGTAGGGAATGCTTGCCAAAGGCACTAAGAAGAATTCTGGTATACAGTCATAAGCATTAAAAAAAAACTAACAGTACTGTTCCTCTTACTAAATAACTGAAAGTGAAACGCGTCTCAGTTCGGAAAACCTTCTGCCTGAAAAGCGCGACCCGGGGCTGAATCGTCATACCTTAATAAAAAAACAGGAGATATTCCCCGTGTGCATGTAAACACACCCACTGCTAGAAATGTTTGGAATTCAACAGGTGTATGGGAACTCAGCTGTGTGAGGATTTAGAGATGTCACACAATTATTATGAGAGAGTGGGTTTGTGTAGATTTGCTATCCAGGCAGAGTGCAGGAAGGGTGGGCACTCTTAACTCCCACTGCACAACGAGGTTTATTCTTAATGCACTATATACACTTTATCTACTAGTTTTTTGTGACTGCTACAGTATAATGTGTAAAGATAAACATTAATATGATCATATAGAAATCTATATTTTTGGTTTTGACTTATCTTTGGTAACTTTTCGTGGTTGTGCTTTGGATTATTTGACTTTTTGTCTTTGCCATCATGTCATGTACAGGTCCATCAGGGGAGACAATGCAATACAGTGTATTATAGTCAAAATAAAAGTGTGATAAACATGTAATGCTCCATGTCTTTACTTCTCTTTGAGTCCAATAATGATAATTTGAAAAGACGAGAAGATGTCTACAATAAAGGTTTGAACAAATCTTTAATCTTGTTGCATTATACATACAGCACCAGTTCATAGCTGGAGATAAAGGTGTAGACATTAAGCTGCTACTGTAATTATAGAGATAAAAAGAGATGCCATTTCATTAAAACTATAAACATGATCAATTTTTCCAGGCTAAAATTATCAAATAGAATCCACACAGTTATATATATATATGTATGTGTGTGTGTGTGTGTGTGTGGAAAGGACTAGAAAATCACTTTTTGTAGTAAAATAGAAAATATGTAGAGGTACAGTATAAACATACAGTAATTTGGCCTTTAAAGTATTCTGGGATCTTTACACATAAAGACTTTTTATTCCAGTTAGGACTGCTCTGAGCGTGTTCAGCTGCGGTCTCTGTGATTTACACCAGAAAGAGATTCACAGGTTGGCTAAATGTGTCTGACGCAATAGAAAATACTTGGACCCTTTTAGAAAAATGGAAACAGTCACAGCAAGCACTACCAAGAATTTCATTGCCAGCCTGTGCCGCTGAGTATTAACAGAACGTTAAGCCTCCCAAAATATCAAGAATATGGGCAGTTTCTATTATTTCCTCCCTTGTCTCGTTTCACAGCAGTAAATTTTTACAACGTGATGGCAAAAAAAGAAAAAAAAAATCTTATCTCTGCCTACATCTATAAGAAAATAAGAAATGTCATCTCTTAAGATTTATTTTCAAATGGATTTTGAGCCGCACATCACTTTAAATCCCAGATTTGATCTTTTTTGTTTCTTTTTTCCTTTTTTAAACAAAACAGCTGAAACTGATGGCATTTTTTTTTAACAAGATCACCAACACAGGGAATTTAAGAAAATAGATAAAAATACCTCACCAGGATTTTGGCATATTAGTCACACAAACAGGTTTTTAAAAGTACAATAACGTGACGTACAAAAGGCACTGGGTACCACGGACCATGGAGCCAGTTGCAAGGTGACGTAAACGTTAAAAAAAAAAAAAAACGAGCAGTTGCTTCAGTTCTCACCAGTGAGGCCTCGGAGAGGTTTGGCTAGTAAGAACATGATTCTAATTAAGGATACGTGGTAGTTTAAGCCCCACATTGTGCTGGTTAATGTGCAGTGCATTTGATATTTTGCAGGGAAACGAAGGGTTGTCTTGCATTGTTTCCCTTTTTAACAATAAAGTAAGAATTTGCACTTTATCTACATTTATCGGCATTTCTACAATTCCATTTTGCCTGTGCATTTCTCTAATATTGATTTACTTTCTCTTAGAAGGAAGGTGTAACCTATGACGGTAATAAAAGAATATACTAATAAAATGAAAGAAACAATAGATAAAAGAAACATTAATAGACAGATTGAATTTAATTATAAGGGATCTGTCATTAGAAATAAACAAAAAAACTTCATGCTGACCAGTGTCAGGTACAGACATGGAGACTTTCTTACCACTATCACCTAATTCCAACTATCCATCCATTCTCTTCCACTTATCCTTTCAGGGTCGCAGGGGAGTTGGAGCCTGTCCCAGCTGTCTTAGGGCGAGAGGCAGGGCACACCCTGACAGGTCACCAGTCTGTCGCAGGGCTAACACAGACAACCATTCACACCTATGGGCAATTTAGAGTTTCCAATTAGCCTTACCCCACTAACTGCATGTCTTTGGACTGTGGGAGGAAGCCAAAGTACCCGGAGAGGCCATGCAAACTCCACACAGAAAGACCCCGGCCTGATGGAATTGAGCTCAGGACCTTCTTACTGTGATGCAACAGTGCTAACCACCGTGCCACCCCTAATTCCAACTAATGCTTTTAATGATGATTAAAAATAAAATAATAATGTATTATTATAAATGATGCAGGGTTTTGTTTGTTGTTCACTTATAAAGGGTCCCTTAGAAGCAGAAGGGTACCTTTTTCTCTCATCTGGTAGCCTTGTCTGCTGTGCATGCTAACATAACAAAAGGGATGCTTTCAGGTGTTTCATCATCGCTTGTCGGGCAGAGTAAGAATTTTCTTCATAATAAGTGATTGAAAGGGAAAAGACTTTAGACCAGAGGTCTTTTAGATTAAATGTCATTTCATTAGATTGTTCTGTTTTGAAAAATGATCTTATAAATAATGATTTTTGAATTTGCAGTAAATGAAAGTATTAGCATGATCAGCAGACCTACTCTTTTCTCCTCGTAATCTCAAATGTGCGCTCGTGTGATTTATTTTCTCTTTCATGCGCATTTTTGTGTGGATGTCTACATGAGCGACTCCAGGCTTTCTGCGATGTTGGTCTGGCCCAGCGGTACAGATCCGTTGGTCTCTGGATTCTGCAGAGCTCTCTGGTCCTCCTGACTGCTCACCAGGCTCAACACCGCTCTGTACAGATACTGGTACTGCTCCTGTAGGGAGTAAAGAGGCAGAAAACTGGTAAAAGCTTGCACTTGTTACCTGTCTCATCCATTTATTACTTCTAGGCTGGACAGTTGTGATTGCTGGACTATATTATTATCAGGATGTCCTAAACAACCCCCCCCCCCTGAAACCTTCAGTTGATCCAAAATGCTGCAGTAAGAGTACTGACAGGGACGAGAAAGAGAGAGCACACTTCCTGTTAACTCCAGAATCAAATTTGAATTCCTTCCCATCATATACAAACTCTTGAATAATTAGGTCCTCTCTTATTTTAAAGACCCCATAGCATCACATCACCCTAATAGAGCACTTAGCTCTCAGACTGTGGGCTTACTTGGGTATTTAAAAGTAGAATGGGAGCCAGAGCCTTCAGCTTTCAGGCCCCTGTTTCTGTGAACCAGCTTCCAGTTTGGCCAGACGAACACCCTCCCTACTTTTTTATTAGGCTTAAAACGTTCCTTTTTGATAATGCATATAGTTACGGCTTGGTCCGGTGACCCCAAGTTTCTTCCTGTTAAAAGTGTGTTTTTCCTTCCTGCTTTTGCCAAAGTGCTTACTCATAAGAGGTTCTCTGATTGTTGGAGTTTTCTCTGTATTACTGTAGAGTCTTTACCTTTCAATATAAAGCACCTTCACAGGACTGTTGTTGTGATTTGGTGCAATGTATTTGATTTTATTTATTTTTTCTAAATTATGCTGGTAGATGAGAATTAAAAGGAAACATTCCAGTACTTACTATATCATTAAATACCCCAGGCCTCATGAGGTTGGTCATCCGTGCCACTTGGTAGACATCTACTGATCCCTCCTCCTCTAGCTGATTGGACAGGGTCGTGAGGGCACAAAACAGTCCTGACGTAGCACCTCCCAAACTACACAACCACACAAAACCATTAAGAACATTAGACGGATTTAAACAGTTTTATGTCCTTAAAAGGAGTCTGACTCATACTCACGGATCATGTACGATCACCGGTCCCTGTGTGTGCGTGCTCTGTTCTCTGACTCTGTTAATGAGATCAAAGCTGTTTCGGATCGGACTGTCTGGGTTGGGCCAGCAGGTGGTGCTGTACTGACGCACTTCCAGCACATAATTGTTCTAGATGCAAAAACAGTTTTAAAGTCTCAGACTGTATTAAAACATTTTGATTGATGTAAAATATTCTCTTTTATCGCGTGTTACCTGTGGAGACTGGACTGTGAAGTCCTGCACTAAAAGTCTCTCATCATTAGACAGACACATGTGCTCCTCCCTGGAGTATGACACAGTGAAGCCATCAATGCTCAGGGGCTGGTCTTTACTGGGCCAGTACGCACGACACTCTTCGTCTCTCTGAGATAAACAGGAAACATGTTTATGTGTGTGTAGTTTTATATAGATATATCTATATGTATAGGTATCTATAAGTTCTACATGGAGTATGTGTGTGTTTTATACCTGGCTGTTTGAGTCTGGCAGACAGACTACAATCTGTGCATTGTGTTCCCAGATCATTCTCCAGAAATCTGCCACCGTGCTGCTCAGAGGAGTCTGGCTCACTATGAACTCCTTAGTGTAGTGATGTCCCTGTGAAAATACGAGCAGCAATATTTATCCACCAGCTGATTTCGAGGTTTTCGAGACTGGAAAACATTTGCAATTTCCAGTGGTCTTACCATCACGTAGGATGCATTGATGTAGCCTGTGGAGTTTGATTCTGAAGCAGTCAGAGTGACTCTTGATCTCTCCACTTCACAGAGACATGAAGAACCAGGTTAGAGAGAAAATGCCCCCAAAATAAGACAAAAAACAATAATCCTGCATTTAAGTTCATCATTATAGTTAATTAAAGTAACCATAAGGGATTATTGAGCAAGCTGTGGAAGAAATGATGAGGCATCAGGTAACTTGTCGTCATAATCTTGAACCGAAATATCACATTTAACCTCTGACCTCTTTTTCTAGGTCAACGCATTGATCTAAAGGTCAAAGTCATAACTTTGTATAGAGCTATTCAAAACTCTTTCTTAATGCCACTGTTTGCACTGACAATACAGGCATACAGTGATTAACTATGGGGATTCTAAACATCACGTTATAATTTGCATCGAAATATCATGTCATATTTGAACTCTGAACTCTGCCTTTCTTTCTGGTTTATTGTGTACTATGTATGGATTGAAATTTCCAGAAATTATCTGCAACATATTGCTGGGAGTTGCCGGTTTTGCCCAGTGAGTAATCCAGATCTGCTTACCAGGCATTAGAGCTCTGGCTCTGTTCCTCTCAGCATTGCCATCTTTCAGGGCAGTGCTGTAGTCTGCGTGCTTCGCCTGACGCTGACTAATTAACTGAAACACAAAAATAAAAACATTTGGTTACATTCACATGGCAGGAACGTCACAAATGATTCATTACAAGTTGGTGGGCGAAAAAGGAAGCATGCTGTACCTTGAATTGTTTATCCATACGTGTCCTGCCTGTGGCACCAGGGGTCAGCAGGTCAGAGACGTAATTGTGAAGGAGGTCAGAGGTCACCAAGGTGTCCCGGCTCAAAATAGCTTCAACCAGGGCATCGTGGATGAATATGTACTGCTCCTAGAAGACAGCAAAAAAATGACTTCCTGGTTTTAGTAAGGTATGTCTTTGTGAACACTAGTGAAACACTTTTAAATGCCACAAGATACATTTTTACAAGAAAGAAATCTGATATGAATGTGTTTCCTCTGGCCTTTGCTGCTGTTTAGTCATCTAGACTGTCTTTATATAAGTGGCCTAGTTTGCCTGTGCTTGAATAAAATGGAACTAGCAATGACTTTGAGGCTTCGAGGCGCGAAAAGTACAAAAATTATACTGAAAAAGCTCAGCAGCAGAAATCAAGTCCCAGTTTGTCAAAAAATGTGCTGTAAGAGAATACGGTGTATTAATATAATAATAATAATAATAATGTGTGGGGCTATATTTTTCTCGTTCCGTCTTCATCCTCCAAAAGAAAAAGGAGCATGCAGTGAGTTTACACACAGATCGACAAATGCCTCCATCTGCACAGTGACGTGGTTGTTGAGTAAGTCCGTACAGACCTCATTACACCGGCTAAAATTACCCTTAATCTAGCCACTATTTCCTTCTTTGCAAATGTTTAAATTGATATTACATTTCTGGGATTGCCCCCACAAAAGGAAAGGTGAATTCCCACAGCTGTATCACCCTCTTACCTCTGTCTGAACAAGGAAATTCCTCTGTGTGCGGACATGTTTCAGGAAGCCAAGAACGTTCACTGTCCCTTGATCCTGGATCTGCTGCAGCATGCTGTCTATCACAATGTAGGTTCCTGTCCTTCCCACACCGGCGCTGTGACAGACACATGCATCACATGTTAGCAGTACACACACCATCAAATTGTGGTAAGTCTTAAAGAGCAATAAATCATTCCACACACACTCTACCTGCAATGTACCAACACAGGTCCCATCTCCTGCGTGCGGGCCCTGGAGGACGCTCTGATGAAGGAGAGGACGGGCAGAGTGTATTCTGGGACGCCCATGTCCGGCCACTGGGTGTAATGGTAATGGAGGACTGTGTGTTCAACTCTCCTTTGAGATACCTAGAGGATCGAAGTGGGTATGAGAAACCTAACCTCAAAGCCACTTTGGACTATTGCTGCATAGAGAGAAGGGCTTACCTTATTTGCAGTATCCCTGACAGTGAACGTCCGGAGTGTGTAGTAAGCAAGTGTCTTGGTGTTTTTCAGTGTCACCTGATAAGACCCATACTCTTCCTGGTTCTCCTCTGGCCAGTACTGATCACATTTTGTCTGTAGAAAGGGAGAGAAATTCTGTGGATGTAGTTTAATTTTAGGCCTAATACATCTGAAACCGCAGGGAAAACTTGTCAAAAGGAAAGTCCTCAAGTGTATAACAAAGCCAGATTGCACTAATGTCCATTCTGCAGTTTTTCAGCTGTCAGACTGCAGTGAAACTAAATGAAATACCTGAAGTGAATCAGCTGGTGTCTGCTCATGACAAGAGATGGAAGACACAAACTAAAAAGAAATCAGCTGCCTGGGGTCAGTGTGAATGATATCAGATAAAACTGCACTTATGTCTGCGGTGAGGCTTGTGTTTGAGCTCCTACCCGTCCCTTCTCCTTCAGATTGGTGATCATGACAATAACTCCAATATTCTGCTGCCAGATCATCCTCCAAAAGTCCTCCCTGCCTGATTTTAGAGGCCCCTGAGCTGCAATGTATGCCCTCGTCCGCTCATAACCCTGCAAAAGGAAACATCAGTTGGTTTGCGGCAGCCTGGATGTAAGGTGTGTACACGTAAAAGGACCTTTACTTACATCAACAAAGTTAGCGTTGATGTAGTCCCCGCATGTCCCATCTCTGTCCAAACTGTTAGAGAGCTTAACTCTACTGTGGTCGTCTGAGACAAGTAAAAAGAGTCATTAGCAACCTTCCTGCTGGCTTACACAGTTAAAAGTTGAACAGCGACGCAGTGAACAGTGAAGGATGACATACAGGCCAGTATGTTGATGTATCGGTTCTTGTTTTTGTTGTCAGGGTGATTAGAGCTGTCTGTAGTAATGCCCATGTCCACTGTGCATGCCTGCACCTCCTGAAACACACAATCCAATACTAATAAGAATGACAGTAATTACTCAGATGAACACAATGAGGCTGTTTTTCTTACAAGCAGGGAGGTTTGCGTTCTCTTCATTTGCCACATTACAATGTGAAGGTCAGGTATATAGAGAAGCTACTATAGGAAATAACAAGAAATAAGCACAACTGAATCATATCAAATCAATTTCTGTCTCTCTACAGTGTGCCTTTTGTCCCGTCTCCCTCCCCTCGCACCCAATAGCAGATGGCCGCCCCTCCCTGAGCCTGGTGTTGCTGGAGATTTCTTCTTATTAAAAGGGAGTTTTTCCTTCTCACTGCTTCCAAGTGCTTGCGCATACAGGGTCTTCTGATTGTTGGGGTTGCTGTAGGGTCTTATAATACAAAGCACCTTGAGCACCTCTTGTCGTGACTTGCTGCCATACAAATAAAATGTAATCAAATGAGAGGAGGAGCTGTGTATAGATTTAAGAGAACAAGAAATAAAATCACCCCATGGGATTGGACAAGTCGCCATAATACAAATGTTTTCATTCTGTGATGATGACCCCATATTTAAGCCTCATATTGCAAGCTCTGGGAGAGAAAGGCGACTATTAACAGCCAGTCCCAACAAGCAGCAACCTCAAAGAGCTTCCTGGAGTGGCCACTTAAAATTAAGCATGTTTACATCTTGGCAGACAAAATAATTTTGGTCTCTATAGCTGCTGCACCTTTTATGACTTTATGAATTGTACTTTTACTTTATTTTTTATTTATATAGCACATTTAATAAAAAAACAAAATGTTGGCCAAAGTAATTTACAATGATAAAAAAAATATTACACAGTAACACATAACATCAATAAAAAATACCTGGTAACAGATGAGTAAGTAGATAAACAGGTAACTCTCATGCGGTGTTAAAAGTGAGTAAAAACATGTTGAAGATGGGATTTGTAAAGATTGACGGTCGGGGCCTCTCTAATGTGGAGAGGTAAATCATTCCACATTTTCGGCGCTACAACCGCAAACGCCCGGTCGCCTGTATTGAATTGTATGAAACTCTTGTATGAATTGTACCAGAATTAATTTGCAGTTCACCTTGTTAAACTTTTTCAAGATTTAAACATAGGTGGCTATAGCCATTAGCCAACTGCTAGGCCACACCTTAGCTAGCTTGAGACATGGACGTAGCATTCCTTTCTGTGTTTGTGCCTTTGGAGTGATTGAATGCAGCCATCTAACAAACAACATGGATTACTGTCTAGTTAAGTGTGCTAGTAGTCCTTCGAACAAGTCTATCCTTCAGTTTTTGGTGAATATATTTTATTTGCCTGTTTCTTTCTCTGTGCATTGTACCCATACAGTCAAAGGACACAGGTTGCTAGAACTGGCGGATGGGTAATCAAAGTTAATCTTATATTTCTCTGTATTTCTGCCATTTTTACTGACTTCCATTGCTTTTATTAGAAGTGTGTTTAACTCGCACAGGAGACCATATTATTGTGTGTAAAACATGGTGAGTGCAGTAAAAGAAAAATACATTTTCTTCCCAATTAAAACATCAATATGGAACGCTAAATTTTAAAATGTAAATTTTAGATTTTTTACAGTTGCAGTTACACTTGTAAAAATCAGGCCAAGAAAGCAACAACAGCTCTGCAACAGGAGAGGGATGGTTGGTGTCTTACCTCATAGGACTCTTTGACAATCTAATGGAGGGTGGTGAGGATGCAGAAAGCACGGCGATGGTGGAGATGAGAGGAGAGTGGGATAGGGGACCAAGATGATGGACAGACAGACAGACAGACAGACAGGGAGTCAGTGCAGGTACAGGATATAGGGGTTCAGATACACACAGAGAGGTGTGTTTAAAGTCCACAGCTCCCATCTGAGCTGTGGACTTTAAACCTGCTACTATGTAAACCATGTTTTGTTATTTTACAAGTATAATTATAAATCAGGCTAGTTTTAATGTAATGATATAGAGAAAGTAAGCAAATGTAAGTCCCCCTGGCAGTAATAAGGGAGAAGTAAACTTTATCTAATCCTATCTGTGTGTGTTTCTTAGGAGGTTCATGCTAGGAAACAGGGGTGACTAATGCCATGCAAATGTACCTGTTGAAATTAATCCATGTGTTTCTCTCAAACCATTAACCAACATTCAGATATGTCAATACTCCACATAAGACTAATATCTCTTTCTTCACATTCTAAACAAGCTAAAATGGAGATTTTAAAAGCCTGAAAGTCAACAGGTAGTTTGCAAGTAGCTGGCCTAGCATTGACAACCTGTCTTTCAGTTGTAAAGTCCAGTTTTCAGGTCAACAGGTTTAAATTTAGAGTCTGGTGTGAGAAGAAAGCTGCACGGTCATGGTTAGTACCAAAACCTTCCTGCATGTTGATGTTGCACATGGGCGTTACACATCAACGCCATGCTAAATGATCGGCCTAAAGAACGTGATGTTAATAGAGATATGGAAGAGCATTAAGGGGCTATGACAAATGAAATACTTATACACATGGACCAGAGCTAGGTGATCTATTTATATGCTGGTTACGTTTTTGTACAAATCCAAAAACAAGAAAAATTTTTGTAAGTCTCCTAAAAGCGCAAACATACTGTAACTCACTAGGTTTTTTTTTAAAACAAAAATATCTTCTTCTGAACTCAAACACTGTGACTGGAAATGTCACCGACCTCAAATTCCTTGGAGAAAGTGTTGGTGGTCTGGAGCTCCATGACATGCTTCACAAACTGCTTCACTGTCAGCGGCTCGTGACCATCTGGAACACAAGACTGAATATTAACTACATCCTGGTCACCTCAGCCTAACAGTTACAATAAGACTACTAGGGGATCCTTTGAGCATGTCACCTGTGGCCAACAGCAGGGGTGTAGATGGAGCAGATACAACTTTAGGCGATGTGTCATCTGGGTAGAAATTAGCTGCCTGGAAACAGTTTCTGTGACATACACACAGACATAAAATCTGAAGTAAAGTGCAAGGGTGCAAACTATACAGACAGGCACAGTATGTTTAAGTTGGCACGTACCTCCAGTAGATGAGTATTCCCACTAGTACCAGCAGACAAAGGATGGTGAGAGTGGATACGACAGCCAGAGGAATGACTGTCCTCTTCTCTCTGTCCACACCCTCAACAAGTCCGACCCGAGACTCGTGGCTGCTGTTGCTTCGCTCTGTAAGAGAGTAGAAGACAAGTTTGAAAGTCAAGAATGAACTATGAATTTAAATTGCTATTATTTACAACACAGAGCAACAGTTAAGAGCACAAAAAAAACTTTACATAAGAATTTCAAACTGTTCCCCAAAGGTTCCTGTGAAAAACAACTGGTTTGGAATTAAGTGTGGATCTAATGGCCACTTTTGGACATAAGTAATCATACTTATAAAGGTGGGATTGACTATATTCCATTTAAGAGGAGCTGTTAACAAAGCTTGTCTCAAATCACCAGTGCTTTTCCTACCATCAGAAGTCTGTTATCATCTTCTAAGATGACATATCTAACATGTTTTCAAACTGTTTCCTACCATGGATGTATTAAGAGAGCTGAATATACTATCAATCAGATTTCCTGTCTTGCCACAGAGAAGTGCAATGTTCTCCTCGAACTCCTGAGAAAAAGCTCCGGATCTTCACCTGCTAAAGATTCAGACCAAGCCAGAACCAGTTGTCAAACATTGTAATGTGCTGTCTGCAATCTTACCACATAACGCATAGTCAGCTGATCCCGATTTAACTGTCCGTGTCTCCACCAGTAATATTGCTTCTGTATTCGACTTGATTATTGACTCTGATCAAGGTTAAATTAAGAGAAGTCCACCACCTCAAACCTCAAACAATGGGCTGACCTCCCAGCCCATCGTTCCTTCAGTGGGCTGGTTTCAGTCATTATGCAAATATACTGTTTATAAGGTTGGGGAAACCTGCAGTCAGCTGAGACTGAAGAAGTTACTTGGATGAGTGACGAAACGTTTCTCCCACTGAAAACGCTACGTCCAGATGAATCAACTTTTGGAGACCTCAAACCTAGTTAGCTGAAATTGGACTTGTATGCATGTCACATTCCATAACAAACAGCCAGGGCTGTGTCAAATACTACAGTATTTACCTTCCAGTTGCTCCTCCGTTGCCTTGTCGGTGTCCGTCAGTCTGACCAGAGGAACAAGAGGTCCCAACTCAGGGTTACTTGCACCATCAAACAATAACCCATCTACACTGGAGAACTCCTGCACACTGTCTTCAGCTATGCCTTCTTTGTCCTCTTTAGTACCTCCTTTTATGTATTCTTTATTCTCAAAAGTAGATTCAACCCCTAAAAATGGACCTATAAGGCTTTTGTTTTGATTGTGTTTATAAATTCTGTCACCATGGCCTTGTTCTTCACTGTGGTCAAATAGTATGGACTCTGCTTTTTCACTTTTTGAAAAATTGCCTTTAAGATCTTTGGCATTATTGTCACCTACAGTTCTAAAACCCTTTTTACTGTTATTAAGTACCTTTAGATTTTCTCTAAAGTCAAGCCCATCATGCTCCCCAGAGCCACTGACATCCTCAGCTCCACTTCCGCTATCACCATATATTGTCGTTCCTAATACACTTACCACTATCTTTTTTTCTTTCAGCATCTCCTCAATATTTCTTAAACTCTCATTTCTTACTCCCCTTTCTCTTATATTTTCTCCTTCCTTTCTGTTTAGCTCACTTTCATTCTCCCGTATCTCATTCTTTGACTCTTTTTCATTCTCATAGTTTTTGCTTTTTGTTACATCTCTTTCATTGATCACTGATCTATCATTATCAGTGACCATCATAGTTACTGCTGATCTACTTTTGTCCTCGAAGCTAATAGTTGAAATGTCAAACACTGAAAATTCAGTTTTTACTGCAGCAGCTTCATTGATTTCCTCATTGAAGCCATTGCTGCCAAGGCCAGAGCCTGATCCACTGTCTTCTGCTGAACTTTCTGACAAATCCAGACTTTTGGAATTAAAGAAAAATGTTATTGCACTGACATTGTAGTTATCAATTTGTTTATCCGCCCTGGCTTCCATTTCTCCTATCTTGCTATCACTTTGAGAATGAGGAGACTTGTTTTTTTCTCCATCAGCAGTGTTTGTTTTTGATGGGTTTATGGTACTCCAACCAGAATTAGGAAGGGAGTAAGTGGCAAATAATTGATCATGTGAAGACGTGGTAGAGAATTGAGGGTTTTCTACATCAGTCTGCAAAGGAACAAAAGTGGGCTCTTCAGAGGACTTGTCATTATGATGAACGATAACACCACTTTTCCTGTTTTCATGGAGGGCAGGAAAAAGATGGAAGATGGCAGGATCTTTGCTGAAGGGTGTCTGTAATGGAGGGATTACACTGGATAAATCTCCTTCAGCAGAGAATGCCCATTCAGAGACTGTTGCAAGTGCAGGGTTGATGATAATTCCCTTTTGAGTGTTTGTGAAGCCAGACGAGGCATCAATGGTCGAGTCTTCAACCGTCGACGTGGCTGTATTTGCTGCAAAATATTGCAAAGTCAAAATAAAAAAATAAAAATCCAAGACAGAAAGCTTACAGAAATATCTCCTTTCATTTTGTGTTTCTCAGGCCAGCAAAGATGGAAGAAAAGGAAAGAACTGTTCTTCATTGAGTGTGCGAAAATTCTCCATAAAGGGTACTAGCAGATGAGGCACCCTGGAGATGAAGCAAAGCCTTCATTCTTTAAAGAGGACAGAGGAAAAGAACAACCACCAGAGTGCGCTGTTGAGGCGCAGAAAGAATTCAGACACAGAGAAGGAGTCCCAAAGCAGACGATAATCACCAAGCTCCAGTGGATTCAAGTAGATTACATTGAGCAAGGAAACAACTTGACCTTCTTGAGGTATGTGCTGAAAGATTTGCAAGAGTCAAACATATTTAATTTCTGGACCAAAAACCAAAGCAAGAAAGGAAGCTGCTGATCATCACTCTAATCATCAAAGCCAACATAATTTTCCTGGCCATCATAATTACCACCACCACATTATCCACATCATGTCACTAAACAACTGATCAGAGAGCGCAGCAGTGATTAGCTACACAGTCACAGGCCATTAGAGGAGAAAAGCAAACAACCACCACACTTAAATCCAGCTTTCCACCACAGAAGAACTTAATCATGTTCCTATGCATTAAAATTCATCAATATGACAATTCACAACTGCGTTTATTAAGACCTGGAGATCAGTTTTGGTGTTTTATTTTGTCTAATGGTGTGTTTGATTGATTCCTAGAGAAGTTGTTACATCTCACCATTGAACATGGGCTGAGTCGTATGCATCAGCACTCTGAGGAGAGAGGAGGTAGTGAAGGACTTGTAAACTGAATCGGCAAGTGTGTTGCTGGGGGTCGCCGTCTTTTCTGTGATCCAGAGAGATGAGGAGGGTAGCGTTTTTGGCAGGGGCTCATTTACAGGGGCATCGTCATCTTCAGAGGGCGGCGGGAAGGCTTCGTCCACTATATGACGGACAAAATGATAAATAAGCAAAGATGGTGTAAACTGAACCTGTCTCATTCTCAATATGTCTCATAAGACACGTTGTGCCAAAACGATGTTCCAGAAGGTCTAAATGTTCTACAGTGATTATAATTTCAGCTTTAGTTCATTTTAAATGTAGACAAACAGTTTCAAACTGAAACTAAACATTAAAAGATTTACACCACTTGGCAAGTGCCCAGCGGACTTAATCTTCTGTTTGTACCTGTTAGATTAAACTCCCTCCTCGCTCTGCGTGACAAGCTGCAATAGCAGAAACAAACAGAAAGAAACAAGAAAAGCACTTATTCTCTGATCTGACCTGGCACTGCAGAGGCAGGCGTCGTTGGAGGGGAGGTGATGCTTTCCTGTGGAGAGTTGTTGACTGTGTCTTCATAGAAGACATCTGTGATGTGGATATCCTCCATAGGAGTTGTGTAGAGCTCTGGTGAAGCAGAAGGGAGGCTATTTCCACTGGCTTGCTGTGGTGGGCCTTGATCTCTTGTCTGCGAGCAAAAGATACAGTGGATAAAAGAACAGATGAAGAACTGAATTAGGTTGAATGAAAAAAATTGTTGCTGCAAGTAACAGTGAGTCTTTATGTTTGTTCAAATTAAAAGTTTTAAAGTGAAAAAATCAAAGTAAATTGCGGTATGAGCAACTACCTCATGTGGCAGCACTGACAGCGATGCCTCTTCTGTGATTTGCCGGCGAATTGCTGGCAGAGAGGTTGTCCGAACAACTGGAAATAGGAAGCCTGGTTGTTCGGTTAGCTCAGTGGTAACCCATATTGCGCTATTGCCCTCAAAGCCTGCATTAGTGAAAGGCTGGTTCATCATCTGGTCACCTTCAATCCAGTTCTGATCCACATCATGTGATTTTTTACCCTGTTTCTTTCTGACATTCTGAGAAACTGGGGCCTCGGTGGGTGTCTTTGGGGTTGGAGTGGTGCCTTCTTGGACTGGAATGTTCTGGCTGGCTTGGGTTCGGTCTGTGGGCTGGTTCTCATGATATGAAGGTTGGTTCTGGTAAACTCTGGTCTGCTCCAGTGGAATCTCCTCCACTGGGCTGTTGTCCTCTGAAGCTAAATGCATCGGATTCTGCTTCACTGGCTTCTCCCATCTGACTATGGACGAAAGCTTAAAAGAGGAATAAAAAACAGGTATGTCATGTGTATACTGTGTTTATAGGAAATTAGAAACAAAAAAATGAAGGAGTTTTACAATTTCACCTCTTCCTCCTGAAAAGAGTGAAAAATTACAGTAGGATTACTGTTTTTTCTGGTAATCCCAACTCAACATGTCCCTCAAAAAGTCCCTCACAACCTTTTATAAAGCTCTCACAGCCTCTACAAACATAATTACATTAATCTGCATAATAATTAGATGCACTGATTTTATTGCCGACAGGTCAAAAGTCAGCACTGCAAAATAATTGCACAAAATTCAGCTCAATTATGTGGTCAAGTGAAAACACAGATAGCTCAGACAAGCTTACCTCCCTGTTTCCTTCCAAATCCTTTGTGACAGCTTCAGGGTCAGAATCGCTTTCTAAAACAAGAAGGAAGGAAGGAAGGAAGGAAGGAAGGAAGGAAGGAAGGAAGGAAGGAGGGAAGGAAGGAAGAAAGAAAGGAAGAAAGGAAGAAAGAAAGAGTTAGCATGTAAAAATGTGCTCTCACCAGGAGCATGCTTGTGTGTCTTTGTACCTGGGTCTTCCAATGGCATGTCCACGATTATCTGGTCGCTCCATCGTCCTCTGAGTCCATTGGTGCAAACAGCCACCACCTGGACCACATAGCTGCTGTTGGCCAGCAGGTTGGAGATGATGGCACCCTGCAAATTTACATGTTAGACTTATGTTAGATCCTTTCAAACGGGTCCATTACCAGGCGTCTGGAGAACTTCAAGACATGTTGGCTGTGTCCAAATTCAGGGGTAGCATGCTTCGAAGGACCCTACCCTACGTGGAGTGGATAGGTTGGGCCCTTTGAAGCATGCTACCCCTGAATTTGGACACAGCCTTTGAGGAGGTAATTTAGCCATTTAAATCAGCTGTATTGGATCAAGGACACATCTAATACCTGACACCGGCCCTTGAGGCCTGGAGTTCCCCCACCCCTGCTCTAAGTGAATTCAATGCGAATCCTCTTGAGTCGAACTGAATGTCTTTTTACAATGAATCTGCAGTCACAATGACACTTTTAGCATCTTAAAGATATACTTAACCCTCTTAACAGTTACTAAGTATCTATTTGCATTTATCTGCCTGTTCACTTGCTTCTTTCTACACACAGTCACTCATCTTTTTTCATGTACTCTCTCTCAGAATTACCCACATGGATGACACATGACTCCTGGGTGTCTTTAAGTATAAGGAAGTTAAATTCACCACCACTATCACACTAAAACAATTATGAAACTACAAGTCGACAATAAAAAAAATAATAAAATAAAGACTGGAAATGAAAATCTCCGAAATCTGAAAATCTTGTACTCTGAAATACAAATACATGGATATTGTTAGTCACAATAAGGGATGTTCAGTGACTCACTGACAGGCAAAAACTGACTGTCACCACCAACAGCAGCAGCTGAACTATGTGAGAGATACATGGAGAGGAAGAACAGATGGTAGGAATGCTTGATTTTCGCCAAAAGTACAGGAAATTACTGTAATTTCTATCGGTTACCTATTTATCAGTTTAATATTGCTGTGTGGACAGTAGATAATAGTACAAAACAACATGAAATTACACATCCAGGCGCTGTTTTTCAGCATTTTGTGGAGAGATATAAAAAGATCTTGCATACCACATCCTGGTCTCCATCGGTCCTGTACTCCTGCTTGCGCTGGTCTTGGCCCTGCAGCTTCTGGTATGTGACAGTGTACCAGTCGATGGTTGTGTCATACACTGCACGGGGACGCTCCCAGGTCACCATGATGGTGGTGTCGTTCTGAGCATCAGCCTGAACATTCTGTGGCTCAGAGCTGCAGGCTGGAGGCAGTGCACAGAAAGACAGGTTACTAACAATTTGTATGAATAGCATGCAAGAAACATTTTTTAAAAAAGAATGAGAAATAAAGAGATGATAGCAGCAACTGCAAGTAAACATCAAGTATGAGCACACATAAACGTTCCCGACATTGAGTTCTGAGTTTCTGAGGCAACTTGATATTAATCAGCTGCTGAAACTGGAAGGCTGAGTGTATGCGTGTGTGCATGGGTGGATGAATTTGTTACAGGGACAAAAAAAAGCCTTTCTGAATTTCTGAAAACGTTATTTCAATTTCAAAAAGAGCTGCAAAATAAATTGCCTGCACTGAGAGAAGCAGGGCCACTGAATTACAAAGTCGAGCTGCTTGGCAACCCAAAAGACCCACTTTATTTCAAGGTCCCCTTTATGAAAATGGAGAGTGCGGTGAATTGTATCTTTTGATGATCATAATCAGGCTAGCCTTGAAGGACCACATTACAACCATAGTGGATGCAGAAGATGGGCAATATTTTTAGTGGAGTGAAAAAACATAAGATTAATAATGCAATACTTATACTGATCCCTGAGCGGTGATCCAATTTTCTCCTCCACGCACGCAAAATTTGATATAAATTAGATTGGTGAAAAGCTTCAGAGACGCTGAGTCAAACTCTTTAAAACCTAATAAGGATGTTTTTTTTCATAATTTAAAATTATAGCATGCTGTATTGGGATGGGGGTGAATAGCATTGTATCTCAATGTCTTACTTTTGGAGACGCTGGTAAATGCGACTATTAGTGTGCACAGTAAATAATCATAAAAAAACTTGTAAAAAGGTCAGTAAAAACACATATGATGGATAAATGGATGGCAAACTTTTCCTTTAGACTGTGATGACATACTGGGTGTGAGCACCTCCTCGACTCCAGTGTAAGAGGCAAACACCTGACCCATAAACTGCTGCTGCTGCTCTCTGAAGTTGTTCTGCAGGTAATCCGTCAGCATCACATAACCAGCCTGCTCCATAGTCATCACTTCACAAAACACCTCAAGCTGGTGACAGACAGAAAACACACAGAGGTAAACAAAGAGAAAATGTTGCACATCTTCCTGCTAATCTCTATCAGGCTGCTGAAATAAACCAAAAGTGATGCTTCTGAGTGTTTCTCTGTGTGTGTTAAAGTGGCTTGTGTTGGTGCCAGGCTGAGGCAGAGAGGCAGCGCTGCTCTATTTTTGGTTAGCATGAATATGCCTGTGTCATGCCTTGCCACACTGTTTCAATCATGCATGCACTCACAAAACACACACAAATATTCATGCACAATACACACGCAACCATTCGCAAGGCCTCATTCCCTCTCCATTACTCTGCTGCAAAAGTGATGATTATTACACGCATCAATTCGTCAAGTCAGGGGTCCTTAAGCGTCGTCAGTCCAGAATCAAAATGTAGTAATGCTGCTGCGTAAGCCCGTGATGCCATGTTTACCGGATTACCCTGCTACAAAACCCTGCTCTGTGCAGTTTGACTTAATGTGTCACACTGCATCGCTTCAATGCAGCATTTTGTTTTATTTTGTGCAGAGATGTCAAAGACAATTGACCTGATGCCAACCTCACACAACAACCAGACACAACTGCAGGCAGTTCTGCTGTTTTGTTCATGCACATCATGTGCTGTGCATAGGGCACCAAGTGCTGGAGGGGACGCCAATACAAGATAATAAGATATATATAAATGACAGGCTGACAAAGACCTGTCTCTGTATGCGAATCTCAAACCTGATCAGGTGATAAAATAAATAACAGTAGCTGAATTTCTTGCTTGTAGCTGTTTGTAGGAGTCTTTACTTCTGACTTAATTAAATACCAAAGGTCCCGAAATTTAAACACGTAGAAGCATCAGCATTTTCATGATTATATAAATAATGCTGTAATGTATATTTGAATAGTTTTATTCTATGTAGTATTTTTTTTTCTTTCGAATAAATAATTCAGTGTTACATTTGGCCAGTTTTGGGGGTAAGCGTGTGTGTGATTCAGTGTACTTACCTGTGTTTCCGATATGGGCACAACATGCTTAAAGACAATCCATTCCACCATTTCAGTGCATGGGGGGGAAGTCAGTGAGCCGTTGTAGATGTAGTATTTGTCTGTGTTATTTGGCAGCAAGGACCTCAAGGTGAATGCCTCCACTGACCCACTCTTACCTTGCAAAAAACAACAAATAGCAAATCTTTTCTACAAGCTGCAAGAACATCTTTAACATTTTAAAAGTATCCCTAAATGTTGTTCTCTGGTCATTTATAGCACTCCTTCATAATTTTTCTCAGATTCATTCTGGTTGTCGTGCACTGTTTACCTCAGCTGTATGTATGACTGCAGTCATTCTGAGGCTGTGAAGGTTTGCAAAAGAAGTCCCATACGAGTCAATGAGTCAATGAAGCTCACTTCTGTTTAATAACAGCTGCACTAAGGTGAGTTGTTGATATTCTGAACTTTTCTGTTGGTAAGCACTGTTGTTTTTGCTGCTGTTAGCTGCTGTTAGCCTCGGTCAGTTGCTGTTATCAGTGAAACTTTCTTTAAAGCGGATCCAACATTGTTAGATTTGGACACTTAACAAATAAACTCTTATACAGTTTGAGAATGTAATTTACCTGGGGTTAATGTTTATCAGAGGGGACGTGTGATTTTTATTATGCTCGAGCCTAATGCATAACTTTAGCTAATAACTGCTTATCTGGCTTGTTTTGAGTTGGTCTGGAGACGGAATGGAGTCTAATCAGTCTCATAATTAATAGCAATAATACTGGGAGTAAATGAGCATTTCTATGCATGTTTTCATGTATTAGAGCCCTGACTTCAGCCTAGGAGGTGATGCTTCTGGTGAAGAGAAAGAAGATTGAGGTAGAAATTAAGAAATAAGAGGGGAGAAAGAGCAGTGGTGGAGTAGGCAGATAAAGAAAGACATGATGAGAAAAAGATGATGAAAATATTGTAGGGTCTACCTTACAATATAAAGCGCCTTGAGGCGACTGTTGTTGTAATTTGGCGCTGTATAAATAAAATTTAACTGATTTGAAAATATGTTAAATGGTCACAAGAGTTTTGTGATCTTTAAATTCAATTTATAAGACATACTACATATGTGGACAGTCTCTAGTCACACATATAAAACATGATAAGGCAGAACAGTGATGTCTAACAGCGCTGCTTCCTATGTACTTTTAATGGATTAATTCTTTTTGAGAACACAAAACTTGCTGAAAGAAGTAATTTCACACTATTTGATGTATATTGAGTACAACCTATCTGAGCTCAAAAGAAAATATTTACTGTACCTTTAAGTGAAAATTTGAAATTAGGCCTGCTTTCCCTGATTACGTGTTTTGGGTTATATTTGCTAAAACATACGCTTTTGTTTATCTCTCGATTTGATAGCTTGATATTTAATGTTCATTGTTCACAAGCTGCAATGCACTGTCCTGTAGCTTCAACCTACCAAACCTGCTGACAGTGTTAATGGCTTCCACAACAGGAATTAAGTTCTCATTATCATCCAAGCTAATCTGCAGACAAAAGCACAAGCTATTATTGAGGATCACATAGACAAACAATGACAATATTACATTTACAGTATCTGAGGAGAAACCGATTGGACCCTAATAATGACACTTTAGTTATCAGGTGATCAGGTCAGTTATCAGATCAGCCTACCTCAAATAGCACAGCTAAGGCAGCCACCCTTCCTTCTTTCTCTATAGCTTCATCCAGACTTTGGAACTCCTCTGAATTGTAACAATAGATCTGCATCTGATCCATAAGAGACACAAAGGTTATCACGGTGTAAGGTTATTGGTTAAAAAAGCCAAACTGATGCTGTGCACCACCGTCCTTTACCTCCAGAGGGTATTTCATTCCATTCAGACTGTGTTCAGACCCATCTGATGTTGCATTGCAGCGACCCCAGTGGAAGGTGATTCTGCCAACACGAAACCTGGACCTCAGCCCTCCGCCACTCACAAAGAACTCCCCATCCACATCGATTGCCACTAAAATGCACAATAGAACACAAGTTTAAAAGAGTTTCACAGAAGCCAAAAAGGCCGATCATCAATCTTGTTTAGGCAGGACTCATTACTTATATGTATTCAGTCTCTCTTCAAAGTATGTCTTTAATGTTTGACAGCCTAAGCAACAGATTAGACAGTAGTAACTTTTAATTCTGAAACATACTTCTCACCTCATAAAAATTAAAAACTTCATGTGATCAAATTTGGCACAATCACCTCTTCAAAATGATCTTCTAAAAAAATTCATTAATTAAAGAAACATTTTTTAATCCGAGTTTAGCATCAAGCCAGTTAAACCTCTAGCATATTGATCTGGTTAGTTAAGTGGGAGAGGGAATTGTTAATCAGTTTCAGCTGCACTAGAGCAGCAACAATTTAAAAAAAACAATTTTTTAGTCATAAGGCTGGGCTCGAACCTACTTAGTTACAGTGTTAGCATTAGCATTACGGTCTCAGAGAAGAATCAATATGCCAGTGTTATACTGGTTTAGGTGCTCACACAGCATACTGCTACCAAGCAGAACAATCACAAGCACTGGCTTATGAGATCAAAATCTGATACATCTGAGGCTGATTGGTTAGGTTCCTGTCATGGCCCATCAGCTGAATACTGGTGATCACCAGATCAATTGGTATATCACTTTCTACTTTGCTGAAAAATATCTCACAACATAATAAAACATTTTAATGAGACTCTGTAGGCTATACATTTCTCTCATGAAAATCCTGCCAGCAATGGAATATCTGTTTAATATGCAATTTCCTCTCAGACAGAGCAAGAAAGGATTAATTTTGGAACCATTAACATATACAGAGCGCACACAGAAGCACACACTCCCACAACCCAGGCAGTATTGGAAAGAGGGTGATGATAGCTCAGCCAGCTTTCATTTGTTTATCAGACCAGACATCACTCCACATGTTGCCTCTCCTCCCTGTCTCTTCACATCGTCCTCATTTCATGCCTTCCCTCTCTATACGTTTTCCCTTTGCTCTTTTGTCGCCTCTTTTCTTTTGCTCAGTTTCATCTCTGCCTCTTGGCATCGATCTTTCTTTCTCCACACGGTCTCCCTCTGCTGCTGTCCCTCTAGTTGCATCGCTCTCAGTTACTTAGTCTCTTTCTCTTCATCTTCCTTTGACTTGTTCTCCTTTAAATCCTAGCTGCGCTCTCCTTCATTAACCTCAGAACTGTGAATCATTTTTTTTGTGGTATTTAGAAAGTTAAGCTTATTTCCACAGCCAGAGATTAAGATGTTGTAATTTCGAGCTCCACGAGTATGTCAAAATCATTGCCGTAAATTGAACTGACCATATATTGTATCTCTACCTCATGTGCTCGCTACTTTAATACTTTAATAAGCTGGTGAAATAGTTCAGTAGAGATGAACTGGCTTGTCGTTGGACAGGACAGAATATCTTTTTAAAGAAAATTAAGAAACAGCACTGGTTAAGGTAAAAAGATAGATGCTGGAAATTATACGTATTAGGGTCAAACACAAACAAAAGCACACAAGGGACAGTAGAGGGCTATCAACATACCAGTCTTCCCGTTGTTGTGAATGGTGGTAGACTCTGCTGTCAAGCTGTTCCAGCCCTCTAGCTGTAGATTCTGGTACTGCACCCTAACCTGGGTAAATGTCTCGTCGATGTCCACAGGAGACTGTCTGGGACTGTTACAGGATGGATACTTCTTACCCCACTTGCGCTGGTTTAGGGTACCTGTATACAGTATGGAGAAAGTGGATTAGTGCTCATAAAAGCTATTAAAGTACAACTGTTACCACCAGACAATATTCACACGAAAGGCAAGGATTACACCTGTACATTGTGGTGTCACAAAACTAAAAGGTAAAAATACTCAACAAGGTCTCATATATCATAAAGGTAAAAAGTAATACTAAAAAAAGACAAAAAACAAATCATCTGATATCACCAACACGTTCTTATCCCATAACGTAACATACGACGCCATGTGACAAATGTCGATATGTTACACTTTCGGCCATCCAACCTGTCTGTATGTTACGTGTTCGGAAACACGAGAACCATTTGGAATGAATCTACAGATGTATGTTTATTTTCTCATCAATAATCGCTTTGGAAAACACTATCTAATACGATTAAGATTGTGGTTAAGGTTAGGGATAAGGTTATGGTTGGGGTTAGGGCTGGAATAAACAGCTGGAACATGTGTTACCACCAGAAGCGTCATTCTGTTGGATTCCATCCACAATCCGGTGCTCCTCATAGGGATGCGACAGGTTACCTTTCACGTTTCTATGGGATGCCTTGAGACGTGACAAATCGTTGGTAACGTTATGCGTTGAGAATGAGAACGGTCTCATACCACTGTTAAAGGTATTATTTTTCATTTTTGGCTGATCATTACAATTTAAATGAGTGCTAGAATAACAACTGTACAAAAACAGTAGTTAATAACAGTTGTTACTAAATGTAACTCCTGTTCTGTGAGTAGGCACAAGGCCACTTACAAGTTTAATCACTGAATGTGTGGACCCAGAAGAAAGAAACCACTTCTGCTTTGTGCTAAAAAGAAATCTTCCCTTTAATGTACAGTTCAGTATATTGCACAGTAATGTAATGTGTACAGTACAGTTTAGTGGTCCATTCAATTAGAATGTATTGTGTCAGTTTCAATTTTTTAGTCAGTTCAGAGCAGATGGTCAAACTCAACAGTAACCAATTGGCATCAGTCAAACTTTATGCTAGCATTTTAATTACTCTATATTTTAATATTGATGTGCTGTGGTTGAAGAGATGTCTTTTTTTAAACAAGACTGTATTTTTCACATATAAAGATTAAAAATAAAAACTAAACAAAAACACATTTGTAGTGAAAAATGCAACATGAATAATCCCAATGAGGTAAACCAAAAGCAGCATTCCTCTTTTTTAAGGGAAGAAGTTTTATGCTAATTTTCACCAGCTCAAATGTCTTTGTGCTGTGAATTATTATTTATGAGACCCTGTCAGAATGTACGTATATGATGATTTTCTGAATTTATCTACTGCATGACACATACTCCGCATTTAAATCCACCTGCATAATGACTGTTTTCTGCTTTGGTATACATTTGCTTCATATTCAACATTTATTTAATTTTGTTCATGTCTGAACTGCACCTTTGTATTTATTAACAAGATATATGTGCAAGTGGTTAAAATATTACTTCTTATGTGCAACTTATATATTACTAGTCATGCATTCAGGCACACACAAGTACATGTTTCTGCATAAATAAATGTTTTAATTTATTGTGCATCCAAATCCATGACATTTACTCAGTTCCTCCAGGCATATCTAGGGAAACGCTCGTTAAATGCATTTATTATGCTGACTAAACTTACTGAGCTTTCTGCAATGCTGATAAATACCATAAAAGATAGCACTGTAAATATCATATTTTACATAGGTTTTACAATAACAACTGGGACTTTACTTCATTCTTTTCAATCTGATCCATTTAAAAAAAAAAAAAAAAAAAGATGAATGCATCAAATATGCATCTTTACCAATAACAATTGAGCAAAGACCTATTGTGAGCATTAACATTTCTGCATAATGAAATTGCATAACTAGACGCTTCTTTTCTAAAGTATAATCATTAGCATGTGTATACTTAGTATAGTATAGTATACAGTAAAGACAATAAGTCTAACGAGGTCAGAGCAGATGGTTTAACTGTAACTTGTCACACATGACCAAACAGCTATTGGCTTTACATTCCTGCTTGCGTGTGTGAGCATGTGTGTGACGGAGAGAGCGTTGATCGAAATCGATCGCTGTGATCCTTGTTTCACTGTGCCCTCTTTCAACAGCTGAATACGAAGGGTGAAGGCAGGTGCTTTTTTTCTATCCAAAGATGCCACATGTACGATAAGCAGTTGTGTTACTTTTTCCTCTAATGCTGTCGCCCGGGGACACAGCTGAAGCGACATTCACTCTGCTGTTTTCCAATATAATACGAAATTGAATTTTTCAAACCACTGAAGGGGATTCAGTCACCAATCAACAACCCATTTTTTACAAGCTGAGATTTGTGACCCAATTTGTTTGTGCACTGACCACTCAGAAACCCAACACACAACAGCATCTATCTCTGCATCAAGTATAGATTGACATATGACCTTCAGTATCCGAGTATAATGCTATACCAAGAGACTGTGGAGACTGAAAACCTCAGAGCTACCTCCAGCTCCACCGTGGCATTATCGCATTCTCCAGCTATACCAGCTTAAAATCAGCAATAGGGAGCGCACTTAGTGGCTGCCAGTGGTGTCACCTTATAACCTGGTTCACAGTCTTGGTGTGTGTGCTAATGGGTGTATGACAATCAAATTGTAAAGTGCTTGAATAACAAGCACAATATAAATGTATAGCTGTTTGCCAAGTTTAAACAAGCAGTAAATGGGATGATTTTTCAGTGTTTGCTGGTGAAGCTAAGATAAAACAGTGGTATCATTCTTTCCAAAAGAAATATTGGACTGTCCCTTAAAGACTCTTTAAAGTGCAACTGTGATTTAAGCATATTTTAAGCCTTTACGTTGGCTAAGATTTGAACACACAGTATCTGTCACCGAAACCTCAAATCCTACTTTACTTCACTGACTGCAGGCAATCAAAGTGGAGTGCTCTAGTTAAAAGGTCAAAGCAGAATGCTGGTCACACTGTTATTTTGGTCCCAGGTTTAATGACATAATTTTGCATTTATTCTTTATGTGCATTACTGATGTTTGTTCACACGTGGGTGTCGGAGAAACGTCTCTATGTATCAATAAGCACATCACCCCTACAGCTTCATCTGTCAACATCATAAAACATACACACATACACAAAAACAAACAAACACACACACACTCACTCTTCTGACATAATGCTACCATGGCAACAAGTAGCTGACAGGTTGGTGAGAGGAATAAAAAAAAATCCCCTGAAGCTAGACTTGGATTCAAATGAAGACAGGAGTCTTCATTTGAATCCATAAATACTCACTCGCACACCAGCTCACACTCGGTAAAGGAGTCAAACAGATGATTAAATATGGAAATTACATTTCATATCTCTGCGTTCCACTTGCTTTTTCAGAGTAATACCAGAAAAAAGTCAGCCAATGCTGCCAGTGCTACTGGCTGTTGTTAAAATCATATAATGTATTTTTTTTTGTCAACATGTGTTTTTCATGTTTTAATTTTTACAACTTAGAAAGATGAATTTTAATGATTTCTACTCATTCATATAGCATACCAACACAGCCACCACCACAGACATTAAGGCAAAACTACCCTTCAGCCTCCATTGACATGTAACCTCAGTAAAAAAAAATTCCTGATGAATTTAGAGTCTCAGATAACAGTGTCAAGTCTTATTAATTTTAAGGTGGAGATATGAGTTTTTTTGGCAAGTTAATAAATGCAGTAAGGTGCACTTTCCTACAATCTATCTGTAACAGGTAAGAGGAATAATGGTATTTACTGTATTCATTCTTAGCAGAGTGGCACAAGTCCTTATATTCCATTTAAATTGAAGCTCTAATAAGTTTCCTGTGCTCAGTAATACAGTGTTTTTATTATTTCTTACCGAGGTGTTGTAGAGCAAAAATATTTGACCTAAGTATTTATTCACTGATGGATTTTTTAACAGGAATAAATATGACTAAACACAACTGAAAGCCAACAGTTTGTTTGACATGGACAGATCCTTGATCTTATATTAAAAAAAACAACTTTAGTTACCCATATTTTAAACCTCTGGGGCCTCATTCATATCACCGGCATATACACATAACCAGTTCTGAAATATGTAAAAAACAGTAGTGTTCTGTCAGGGTCTTTCTCCTTTCATCTCAGTATTGTGTCAGAAGTCTTCTCACACATCTATTTCCATCACAGGTGATGGATGGGAGACTAGCATAGTAGACAAGCTTACATTGCTTTCACTGCACTTGAGTTGAATGGATTTTCTCCTGTTGACCATCACAGCCAACATGTGTAACATATGTAACTTGTTTACCATGTTAGTAAAGAAAGCTTCAATGAAGGAGAAGGTAACTCCTCCTGTGTCAAACAGATTCCACAAATGCTTTCAGATTAGCATCAAGTTTAACCAGCTGTTTTTCTAATACAAATCCTACTGTAGATATTGAAAGGCAAAGGCTCAAGCCTTTAATTCACCTGTTTTTAAATAAATATATTTAATATTAGGGGTGGGGGAAAAAATCGATACTGTGTAGTATCGTGATATTTTGTTTGCTAATAATGTATCGATACAGGGACAGCAGAAATCGATATTTTGTTACAAAAAAAGTTTTTGTGGAATGGAACATGCTCTGACTTCAGAGCATGTTGATCCTTTTTCTGAGCAAGAATCCTGACATTCCTTCACTGTCCAAATGTGTTTAACTTTTTTTTTGGCAGCAATAAACATGACAGTTTACTTATTTCAATTTAAGACATGTTTTATTTTAATTAAGTTTAAAACTTTATTATTTAATGTAAATTTATATTTTGTTTTAATTTACTTTCAAATTCTTCAGTTGCTGAAAAGGCTGCATAGTTTTCACAAATTGCATAGTTCAGAATAGCTATAATTGTACCAGATGGTTGCATTCAGTTAAGTTGGACTAGACTGTAATACAAACCGTTCAGTTTGTCAACAATAAAACTGACTCAAATGAGAGAAAGACTGAGTGTAAGACTTT